GAATTGGTAGAATAAGAAATAAAAACTTTACTTCATGCTGTGTGCAAAACACATTGAGCAAAGAACTTTCTTGTTAGTATATTTTGTAAGATTGTATATATTTGAAGAATTGCTTCAAGGATAGAAATATTTTATCATTTGTGTTTAGAATCAAATTTTTTAATTGCTTAGGAATTTTACTTCAAAAACTTGAACGACTTTCTAGTTTTACATATTCAATAAAATCGAAAAAAAAAATAATTTGAAAGCAATGCTACCAAACTTGGATATTGTCATTTCATTGAACCTGCTCCTCATCCATTTGAACAAATAAGCTATAACACATAACCGCGCAGCATGATACTTCTTTCACAGGATGACAATTTTTCTTCTCTTTAGTCTTTACAAATTCTTTTCTTCATAAAAAAGAACACAAACAACCATTCGCTCTGTCACAACATTCATTTTTTAAGTTTTACTTCACGGCACATGGTTGTTTCACATTATCATTAATGTGTGCCTACCTTGTATTTAAGGAATACACACATTAGTTTGTGAGGGACACCAAAATAAAACAAACAAAAAGGAAGAGAACGAAGAGAAGGAATGAAAATATTTTGGCGACTCTTGCTGTGAGCTGTTGCTTAATCCACTCTATTTAAATTCTCGTTTTTTTCTTTAAATTTGACTTTTATCCCTCTTTGCTTCTCTTACTCGAGTGTGGACAATTGGTGGTAATGATATAGAAGGTGCATGCATATTACAAATATTTCAAAACACACTTAAATAACATTGTTTAATGCTGCCACAGAATAAAATGAAATATTCTTTTAAAAATCCACGTATTCATGAATCTCCATGTGCCGTTTTGTTGAATTTAATGAAATAAAATTGGAATTAGGACATGATAAATTGTCTTTCGATTGACCACACACACACACGCACATTCATTCGTCACATTAATATATACATATAAAATATTCGTGTTTATTTGCTTGTTCATTAAGTTAAAAAAAAAGGAAGAGAAAGAGAGAAAACAAAATATATTTTAAAAAGCTGGTGGCAAGCTGCTTAATAGATTATGTCATTAGATGAGATTTTTTAATCTTAATAATTTTACCATTAATTTTATTTCACGATTGGAGGATTATATTCTACACTCAATAATATACACATTTATATATGTATATATTTATTCGCTACTCGCTGCTGTTGAGCTCCGACTGATTAGCAAATGTGCCAATTTAGCAAATGATTTCGAAACAATTTGTTGATGTGTTTCACGTTTTTGGTAGAATTTTCATATTTTTTTTTTTTTTAATTGATTAACGTGTTGTGTCAATTGATGAATAATGGTTGACTAAAATCTAGATAAAAATATTTCCTGTATTTATATATCCTAAAGATAAAAATAAAATCAAACACATTATGCTAAAATGCTATAGATGTAAACATAAAATAGTCACAATATCATGATCAGTAACAAGACAATAGAAAACAATGTCAAATTAACAATAGGATGATTTTTTAAATGAAGGCAAATTTTATTGTTTTACAATCGTAAAATAAAAGAAACGTAAAGCTTGTGTTTTATAAACGCTTAATTATTGATTTATTACGAACAAACGTTTTCTTCTATTTTCCAGCATTAATTGTTTCCAGCCTTCTTTCTTTCTCTCCTCTTTTTTTTTGTTCACATTCAATTCACATATAAATAATCAACGAAATAATTATTACAATCAATCAAATGCCAATAAATTAATTATAAAGTCAGAAAATGGAAAATAAAATTCATTTTATTCTCTTGTTTATAATTATCTGCCTATTCACATGTCCATGATTTGAAAATTTAAATATCATAAAAAGAAGTTAATCATATGCGATTGATAATTTATTAAAATGTCAATGAAATGTCTCAATTTTGTCATCATGAAATCAAACTCGATAAAATTGATAAGTTAGTGTTGTTATTTTAGTGAAAGTTTCTCTATTTTTATTTTTCTTATCCACTTCTAATCTTCATCATTATCAGCATAAATTATCATTTTCTTAAAAACATATTGAAGTTGATTAATGTTTTGACTTCTATTTTTACTAACTGTTCTATGCAGCCTTAATTCACATTATTCAAATTTGCAATTATTTTGACAGGAACGGGTGTTTGATTTAGTTATTATATCTTACATACATGCTTAAATTTACAATTTGCATAGCTTAAATGAATGCGAAAATTCAAACTTTTGCAACAATTTAAATTGTAAATTTTTTAATCTTCTTTATTTTAATGAGAGAAAAAAAAGAGTGATTAAGTCCCTTAAGTGTGGACAACAATTTGCAGTCCAACTTTCTTATTCATTCAGTTGCTGTTCATCATCTCAAATGATTATTTATGTGTCAAGAAACACCGGTCAGAACAGAAATTTTTACACACAATATAAATGTTAATATAAAACCGGTTGGAAATGTGTCTCGCTTTACTATACAATTCAGTCTCATAGGAACAACAGTAAAAACGACAGTATGTAGCTGTTTAAGGAAAGAAAAATGAAATAAAATATTTCAGCAGTGGCGTAGAGTTTTTTTTTCTGTTAATTAACATATTTCATATTTAAATACATAAAAATATGAATAACAATGAAAAAAGAATAGCAATCTGATCGCTCTAGCTGCTTCTTCCGCTATAAATTTTTCCATTCTTCCATATTAGGACAAGAAGAGCTCACCAATTCTGTAGTCTTTTATAGTCCAGAAAAGAGAAATAATGAACAATCATAATTTTTATTGCTCATCGAAATTCATTTTTTACAATGTTACACTTTTATGATTTTACCTTTTTCTTCTTTTTCTTTCACAACTTTTTTATATTATAAATTCAGTCATCAATCTACATACACTAACATGCGCATATGTGTGAAATTACACGGACAGTAAATGAATAAACATATAAATAATGATAATTTGTAACGCATGAATCTATGTTTATAATATTCATGCAAGATTTGTGCGAGATCATAAACTTAAAACTGGACGGCTGTGACTCCTTAAAAAAGGAACAAAAAATTTAAATTTTTTTACTTTTTATAACCTAGCAAAAAATCTCTTTGCAGTTTTAAAAATAAAAACGAATTAAGAAATTGTTACGAATAAAAATCATAAAAATCAACTAACTGAGCTTTACTATCCCTTGTTGTAATAAATGATTGAGAGTTCATAATGATGAAGTTAAAGTTTAACACAAATTGCCTTATAGGTGTACACATAATAATAAAAATTAAGAAAAAAAGAGAAAGGAAGAGACATAAAAAAATTAAAGTCATAAAATTTAAATTCAATTTAACCAAATTCGATAACATCATCACTATCGAAAATCTGATGGTGTGAATTTTTAATTGATTAACAACATTTTTAGCATTTTTATGAGGTCCAAAAAGGCAATAAGAAATTAAAAATAATTTGACGAGAGCTAATTTGAAAGTTGAAATAAAATATTTATTAATTAATTCTCCTCTTCATCCGTTCAAATAATAAAAATGATAATAATAATTTAATTGCTTACAATAATCTTAGTTCTTCTGCTCTGTTGGTCACATCATTATAACGTTCTTTTTATCAAAAACAACAGCGAAAAAAATCCCAAACCAGAGCCATTTCAGTTTCAATTTAGAATTTTTAAAGCCACTAAAAAAGCAACTTTATGAAGTGAGAAATGAAAATGAGAAAAAAATGTAAGAGCTCACTAAGCGCAGACAGCAACAACAGGCCATAAATTCGCACTCTAATCATGTCTCCTTATACTTTACTACACATTCTTCTTTAGTATTCTTCTGGTCAATGACGTATATGCATATACCTCTAGCCGGTGTCAGAGAAACAAGTTCTCTATGCTCCCACCCGTTCTTACTAACTCCAATTACTATTATTTTAGTGGGTACATACCGAGCAAGAGTACAAACGACACGCAATGTTATAAAAAAATATTCTTTACAGAAAATGGCCGCATATTCATTTCGCGTGTTTGTTTTCTATTTTCGTAATAGAACCCAATAAAGAAAAGAATGAGTAGTAGCTAAAATGTATATACAGACATTGTTTGCAACGGTGCCACCAGGAAGTAACAGTCAACTTGAACTTAATTAAATAAGAAAAAAAAATATTATTCGTTGAAACCTTTTTCACTTACTTACTCACCCAAAGACAGAGAACTTATAAATGTGTCCTTGTGATCGAGCAGGAAAGAATGCTTTTTACACCTCGTTAAAAGTGACGTGCACATTGAAAAGAGCCCTTAGTAATCGAACAAAGTAAAAAATTTTGCGTTTATTTTAGTCGATGATTTTTGAGAATGCGCACACAGCAGTTTTATACTTATTTCTCTTTTATTTCATTTTTTGTTCACTTATTATGTCATCGCTTAGGTATGAAAATCATTATTTAATATATTTTATTATGGTCATATCTGCAATATAAAAAATGCATAAATGTTCTACCGTTAACAAATAGTTATTACTTATCAATACAATCTCTTACGTCAACTGACTATAATCAATATCCAAAACAGTAATCTAAAAGACAGTGAGCACAGCTTAATGTATGTACATGCATTTCAACGTTTTATGTTTGGTATAATTTCACAAAAATAAATAATTTGAGTGCGAACAAGAGTAATAAATTAGAATTATTATAGACACATTTTACTACCTACGAGCACACAAAATATATTTTTATATTATTTTTACTCTAACATTAGCGAGTTGGAAGCAAAAAAATATTAAGCACATGCCTTAATTACACCCTCACCCAAATAAAAATATTTACATATGTATAAGGCAATTCAGTGTTGATATTTTGTCACGTCATAGAGTAATAAATGGGAATGTAAAGCAAGCAAAATTCTTGCGTTTAAAATTATCATAAAAATTATCATAATATGAAGTGAGGATTTGCGAAAATCATCAAAATTGTTGTTTAGCTTTGATTTTAATTTATTTCAATTCTCTTCCCATTTTTTTCATATTTTCTAGACGAATGTTTCCAACAGTGAGAGTGTCATTTTCAGGACCATTGCGTGGTCAACCTTCAGATAGATATGCTGTAATAATGGACATCGTGCCTATGGATTGTCGACGCTATCGCTATGCATATCATCGATCATCATGGCTCGTTGCAGGAAAGGCTGATCCACCACCAGCAGCACGCCTTTATACACATCCCGATACTCCTGTTAGTGCTGATGCATTGAGGAAACAAGTGATATCATTTGAAAAAGTTAAACTCACAAACAATGAAATGGATAAAAATGGACAGGTAAAAATATTTAATCTTACTGCTCTTGCTATTTGACAGTTCAATCGTAAATTCCTGAAATTCTAATTTAACTGAAATAAACTTTTTATCAACCACAATTTTTTACTCGCCATTTTTTAAAAGGGATAACAAGTTTCATTCACTTCAGCCCATATCACGACGTGTTTATCTTTATACACCAATTTTTATAAAACATAATAAAATTCCTTTATCCATTTTTTCATTATTTCGGGGGTCTTTTAGAGTAAAATTTAATTTATTTTTGATTCTTGACGTAAATAATTTTTTAGAAAAATTAAAGTTCAACTTTTTGGTCTATTTCATGCATTAAAATCATGATAAAATCTTTTAAAACTTTATTTCATGATAATCATGATAATTATATAAAAAGAATCGCGATATTATAAAAGGAAAAAAAGCATCAACGGAAATAAAACGTTATAGCTGATTTTTTTTTTTGAAATATATTTTTTACTCTACCTTTAAGTTGCTTCAGGGATCATATTTTACGAAATAAGAAAGAACGACAGAGAGAGAAAATTCTCGCACTCATTTGTATAATTTTTTTAGCTGTTAGGATAATTTGTTAAGTAACTTGGAAGGTTGATTATGTTCAGTGAACTTGTAAACGGTATAATCGCACCTCCTGCTTAACATTTCTCGACTTTTTATCCTCTTTTTTTACACCATTCGATGTGCGCACACTGCCATTACCTTTTATGACATTTCTCGTCGCCCATTAAAAAACTGCTGGCGTTGTTGCTTCTAAATTCAGTTATTTCTTTATTCTATACTTTAACACAAATTGTGTGGTATTATGAAGTCTGTAAATAGAAGGAAGGAAAGTTGAAGAGAGAAACATAGAGAGAGAGCGAAAAGAAATTTACATAAATTTATTGTCTCACCTTGCATTCACGCTACTTTTTTTCACTCATCTTCATCTTTTTATTTTCCTTAGGCATTCTTTGTCGTGAAATCTTTAATCCAATCTACTTAGAATTTTGCACAACTCATTTATGTTTAAAGAATCTTAAGACTGTCAAACCTCAAAATTTTTTAATTTTTCTTTTGAAGAAAGTAGAAAAAGGATTAATGATTCTACATCATCGCTATCTTCATTTTTGTTAAACTCCAATGTCTCGTTAGTTATTTGGTATATTACCGTTTCAAAAACACATACTGTACATTCATAATGCTCTGCTGTTTACTTTTAAAATATTATAATGTTAATTTTTTCATTTTTTCCTGAATTTTCTTTAACATTGTATTTTGATCATAATTTACATCGACAATGTATACAACACGTGTTATCGCTTTGCTTATGCTGATACTGCTGATGGTGAAAAATATGAAAACTCAGAATAGCACATAGTGAAGTGGGAAAAATTCAGCAGAATCATGCAAATTTATGGCAATGAAGCACAAGAACAGTTTTTGTGTAAAAACATAATGGGGTCAGATGAATTCTGTCTACATGCTCTTAAAGAGCAACAGAGAGAGAGAGATAGAAAGAGAGAGAGAAAATGAGAAAAATGTCGAATGGTGCTGAAAATTACGTGACACAGCCAGCAGCAATGTGAAGCATATAAAAATATGCAAAATAATTTTTTTCTCGTTTCATCTCGCATTTTTCACCACCATTTTCTCCTCTTATTTTCTCCCTCACTCGATAAATTGTGATTTTACACCCTCAATACATGCAAACATGTACACACCGACTCTAGTCGTTTGAAATTGCTAGCAAGCTAGTCAGTCAGTAAACATAAATATATATACAGTTTATACATAAATACATAAAGAGAGAAATGTTTTGTTGAAGGAAAAATCTTCGACTAATGTTGTTACATAAAATCATAATTTGCAAATGTGTTTGTAAAAACTTGCACATGTATTCGTGACTGGATGTATATTTTTGTAATTTTTATGTCAAAAGTTGAACATTTTCTTTAGCTTCTCCCCTTCAAAAGTCAAATTTTCCCTTAGTTTTTCTTATGATTATTCTTTTATTTTCTCAAGCAAGTTATCAAAAAGATGAATACTGCTACTTTCTTTATATTGTTCCAAAAACTTTAAAATAAATTCATACTCTGTGGTTGTAATAAAGCGTCACAGCTACTCTAAATTCGATTAAAATTTTATTGATTAATGAACAGCAATTACTTTCCATTCTTTAAATTGTTTTTAAGTTAAAACAGCAACATAAATTACTCTAACTGACTTATCTCAGTTTTTCGATATAGTAAATTGATGACAGTTGATTGATTAAGATATTCAGATCTTTTTGCCTTCAACTTCTCATCTGGTGTTAAATTTACCGTAAACTGATGAAGGGTTATTTTGTTACAAATTTTTTTTATATCATTTCCACACAATTTATTGATTTTCTTTCCTTATTTTCCTTCTCGCTGTTGAATATACATATTATGTGAAGAGAAAAGAGGGCAAAATAAATTACTGCATTAGTATCAAACGTTAAGAATTACCAAACACATTGCGACTTAAAGTCAAATTCTCTATAGTATTACAACATATCTACGTTGTCAACTCGTATTCATTACAATCATCATCATAAACTCGACATTTTTCATGTCGCAATTTGCAGAAAACTTCTTATTTAGACAAACATTCAAGCGAGTAAAAAAAATTGTTAACAATACATAGCTATGGCTAGACATGTTTTTTTTTATCCTTTTTGATCATTCTTTGCAATTCATTGTCATGTTAATGCTCACTGCAGACGCAAAATAACAAGAAAGAAAATGAAAATAACATGAGATGAATGTCTGAAAATGGAATGAACCCGAATGAACAATTTTGAATTATTCAAGATTAGAGTAGAGTATGAGAAACAAAAACAAATGAATTGAGAATATCAAAAGACAGATGAGTTTATTGAGCTCAATTGTTGAAAATGATAACATTTTTAAGAACTTTACCAATTTTTGAATAAAAAAAGGTTCTCAAATCTAAATTAAAAATATTTTTATGAAAAAAATATCTATTTACAACGGTTTAAAAAACAAATCACAAAACGAAAACAAAAGCAATAATATTAAAGGACCGAAAGCTTTCTGTCTGCAAATGAATTATTGATTTTGTGCACAGTGATGTTAAAGCTCTTTACTCCTTTTCATAGAAAAAGCACAAAGCAATCCTCTCTTTTTCTCAATATCACTTCAGCATACAACAACAGCAAATAAAATTTATTGCCTTCCTCTATCACATAACAAATAAATAGAAACATAAATTTTCGGTATCAGCGATGAAAATATGTTTTTGCAAATTGCTTATCACACAAAGACACAAAATTTGTAGAGTGAAGAGGAGCATAAAAAATAATGTCATGCGCATTAAAAAGGGCAATTCTGAGTTGAATATACGATGTGAGATGGTATGGTGATGATGATGATGATGATATTGAGACTGATGGGGGAGAAAGAAGCTTCGAGCATTTTTATTGAACGATTTTCGTCACATTTTCTTGCTTATGCATCTTTTCCATTTTCTTGTATTTGATTTTATGATGGCGTGTGCATATATTATTAGCTCTTTTATGTTGTTGCTTTATATTTTTGCCATCTTGTAGGATTCTCTCCATAAAATAGACCAAGCGATAATTTTCTTCTCACCATTGTTCCTTCGCTAAAAACATATGCGCTAACAATTGAATCAAGAATATTCCTATCTTGTTTTCTTTTCACTTCCATTCCAGGCATACAGAAAACTTGATTCAATAAAATACTTTTTTATTATCTTCAATATTATTACACCGATGATTTCTATCTCTTGACATCATCAGCTGTATATTCAGCTTACAGCAATTTTCAATATTTTACATCTCCCATGAATCGTTGTGATGTGCACAAGGTAGTAAAAGTGAAACAATATGTGAAGCAATGATTGGAATAATAATACTAATGTAAAATTCTTTTATTACCATCCTCACACTTTTTATATGATTCTACGGCTCAACAAAGTATGTACATGCATACTATATTGAGTGAAGCCGATTTCTTTTTTGCTTACGAGATCATCATCAACAGATTCACAACAACATTATTGTCATATATCCGAATACATGTATGTTGCTCGTTTCTCCCTAGTTGATAGTTATCATTTTCCACGTATACATTAGCAATATCAGTTGATACAAAATTAATACTTTAGATGAGATAAATTTTACTCTTAGAAAAGTTTTTAGATGCATGAAATCATTTGACACCTTTAATTCTATTCCAAAGCTTTCGTCTTTTCTGTTAAATATTTAATGAATATTATATCCTGTCTGTATCTATAGAAATGTGTCATTGAACTACTTATTTCGATTGTATGTAGTCAGATTTCCTCCATACAGTATCCACAAAGGAGTCTCTTCATCTTCTCCTTTGTCTGAACTAATGCTCGTGACTTGATTTCAAATTCAATTCACAACCTCACAACTTTCCTTATACGATAAGAATTCAAGATTATTTGCTCATTAGATATTGAAAATCATATATCAACGCCTTACTGTTTGTGGGCTTTTTGTGGTTTGTGTGAATTTGCTGAAAAAGAAACTAAGGAAATGCATTAAATTAGACATGAATAATTGATGATAATGGTGATTACGTATGTAAGAATAAACCATACATATAAAATATTATAAAAGAGCAATGTCATGAAAGTAAAATTGTGGTTATAACTTTTTGTGGTTTTCTCAAAAAGCATTACATTTAATAATTTTCTTTGAGCATTAAAAGTTAAATAATGATTAAATATCTTCTTTGATTTCAGATCGTACTAAATTCAATGCATCGATATCAACCGCGAATTCATTTGGTGCGTTTATTACCTGGACAGAATATTCCAACGACACCGAAAGAGCTCGCTGATTTAGATCACAAAACATATGTATTTCCTGAAACCGTATTTACCGCTGTAACTGCGTATCAGAATCAATTAATTACCAAGCTGAAAATTGATTCAAATCCATTTGCGAAAGGTTTTAGAGACTCATCGAGGCTAACTGATTTCGATAGGTAAGTTTGTAATTTATTTTTCCTTAAAATTGAGAAACTTCAATTGCGCTTTTGGCATTTATTAATATTCGTATCAATATTGTACTCCTCAAAAACCAGTACTTTCTGGGAAAGTTAAACAAAAATTGTTAATTTTTTTTTGTTCTGTTCAGCATAACATGCCATAATTGATGATGATCGTAATAATGATGATGTTATTTGGCATGTTGAAAGCTTTAAAACGAATATTTCTATCTTACCGCTCCATAATGATTCATGTATATATTGCCAAGGGATGGGTATTTATTAAATGTTTTTAGTAATAAGTGCTTAAAAATAACGAATTATTTATAATTAATCAAAAATACAATAGCAGATGCATAGATATAGCAAAAAAAAAATACTTCATATTTTTGACACTAGCAAATTATTGCAAAGAAATTAATTCGAAATTACACATCAAAGTGTTGAATGACTGACTCGAACAGTTCATAAGACAAAAGAAAAATGAACTGAAGAAAACTAAAAAGTCAATTTTAAGATAAAATCATTTTTCATTCTGAAAATTAAAGATCAAGAGTGATTGTGCAGCCACTAAACATGAAAAGAAACATTAGGATTAATATTATCGAATATTTCCATGAGACGTAAAGATGAGTAGAACATTGAATGTAAAAGTGTGATAATTACATTTAATTCATTAGTTGGGACTATTCAGAGATTTATTTGTGTGAACTAGCAACATGACGAGACCTTACCTGTCTACGCGATTTCGTTTATTTTTTGTTCTTTCTTAATTCTTTTAGCGTCTGCTTGAATTGATTCTTTTACGCGAGAGTTAATAAAGACTGAAAAGTAGGAGGGCATTTGAAGGCAACTTCAAAAATAAAAAGAAGAAAACCGGTGAGGTACAAAAAATTATCGACCTTTTGATACAAATATTCATAATAAGAAGACAAAAAAAAATGATGATGATGATGAAAATTAAGACTATAGACGGCGAGTTGTTGATGAATTTGATAGCTATAACAAAAGGTTCATAAAACAAAAAAAAATATAAACGATGAGTGTAGAATTGATGATGAACAATAATAGGTTGATGAAAAGATTCTTAATTTGTCCCAAAAAGTCATTATCTCTTCGGTATTATGGCTTTTTGATATCCCGTCATATACTCATAAGCAGCAACAATGTTTTCATATGAAAATCGATATGTATCTAATGTTCTTGGGTTATTACATGATGTTAAACACGAAAGAAGTAGTAAAGAAGAAGAGGAACCAAAAAACGAAGATTGAAGACCTTTTTTTTATTTTTAAATTCTTCCTCAGTCAGTGTCCACAGCAATTCAATCCTTTTTGTTCTTGCGTCTTTTCATTATTCTTTTTTTTCGGAACACGGCGCCTTGTAATTACATGAAGGTGAAAAATATTCAGTTTCAATTTAATAATTTGTCATCACGTGTTAGTATTAATGTTGCGTTCGGAAGCAGAAACATTCCATTCCATCATCAAGTAATTGTTGAATCATTTTCTAAATAAACTATACGAATGGAAGGAGGATGTTTGGAAAAAACGAAAGTCTAAACTTTTCATCATGATCGAATTTTTTTAAGACATTTAAATTTTCTCGTTCATTTAGTATTTCAGAAATTCACAAAAGAACGCTTCAAAGAAAGAATACAGAAATTTGGCTTCATTCTTCGCTCTCCTTTTTACAATTTTCTTTGATCTTTTGCCGCCACTATAATCAACACGTTTTTAATAACTTTAAGATAAAAAAAAATGTTTTCTTCCGAAAACAAAACTTTTTTATGTTCATAAAAAAGATGAAAATGAAATGAAGTGAAAAATGGACATGCAAGTTAACTGCTGTTGTTGAAATTGTTCATTACATCTTGTTTTTGTGTATGTAACACACGTCTATTCTTCAAATAATCTGTATTTATAGTCTTTAAAAATCTAGACTTTTTTTTTTGCACAACTATCCAAGAAATCATTCATTTATAATGTCTAAGGTATGAGGTTAAATGAAGATTAAGAATGGTTTGTTACTATTTGACGTCATAAATGAATGAAGCTCAAATGAAGAGAATTGAATGCCCTAAATGCATTTTGTAAAGTTCCTATTCAAAACACAAAAGTTGCATTAAATAGAAACTTATGTTATCAGAAACGAAATGAAGAATACTAAGCGTAATAACATTTGAATTAGTCTTCAATTTAACTTTCTTGCAATTCTTCCAATTCAAATTGCACTTCATTCCTTGTAAAATTATCTCTAACCATAGATCTGCTGTATCAAATTTAATTGCCATTTCCACCTGTTTTCAGCATGCATTTATACATCATTTTTGCATTCAATACTGCTCATGAAGCCGCTATTAATGCTGATGATACCGCATCTAATTGAGATCGGAAGGGAACTCGATAATGACGATGATGAAGAGAAATGAAAATGCTGTTGAAATGTGCAAAAATTATTATTTCTTTAACAAAGTTCACATAAAATGCTGCAAAATACTTAATAATGATTGTTAAAATGTATTTGAAAATTTCCTTTTCCTATTTCTTACGCTTGTCATACAATCATCAATTTTGACCTGTGCGATGCATGCGTGTGCATACCAACGATAAGCGTAAAAAAACAGAGAGAGAAAAAATCTCACAAAAATAATTTGAAAATGACGATGATGATGATGAAATGTATCTTTAGGCTATTATTACTGCCTCATTCTCGACACATCTTTCTGTTCTGCCGAGCTGTCTGCATGTTCAATGTATGATGATTTACATTCCAAAAATAACAACACACAAAATAAAAAGTATCATCCGCTTCTGAAGATCATTCAGGAACACACACAAAGATTATCTCGCAGATTTAAAAAGTTTTTTTTTTATTTTTTGGATATACCTACCACATTAAAGAAATTTTCCCAATAAACAGACAGTTTTAGTGTTCTGATGTGTGATAATTGTTATTCTGTATTATATGTCCGCTTAAACGAATGTTTCTGACATTTTTCTCTTTTTGTTACTCTTATTGTGGGTTACTGGTGATGTTATAAACTTTAAAATTATATCAAATCGACAAAGTTTTTGTTCTTTGCCGTTCCTAGATAATTTTGTCTTTATAGTTGCTTTGAAGATTTTTTAGGAGTAAATAAACAAAATTGGACATACATCTTGTTTCTTCTTATAGAGATGTACATTTGTAATCTAGTTGTATCTTATTAAATATATGTGAAAATAATATTGACTGAAAATTTTTCTGTTTTAAAGAGAACTTAAACTTTAATTTTTATTCTGTTTATATCGATTTTTCCTCACATCCTTTAAAAAATTTAAAGCTACAGAGAAATAACATCTTTTTAAAGCATACAAAAAAATGAAAGCAAAACAGCATTACAAAAAATCTTGAATATTTTATCGAGCATAATTTTTTTTCTTTTCCTTCATAAATGCCTCGTTCTATCCACTCTATCTTTTCATCTATATATTCACATTCTAAGGAGCCCTTTTTTGCACATAATTTTGTCTTTTACAACTCTTTGAAATAAAAGAAGAAAAATGGGGTAGCAGAAAAAAATTAAGGGTAACAACATTTTTACTATCATTGCTACCAATATTGTTGGTTGGTGAAGCTTCAACACAAAATAAAACTCAATCAGATGAAATCAGTCAGCAGTATATTAGCTCATGCTATGAGTTTCATTTTTATAATTTACATCGTCTCACAAGTAGTGATCAAAGTCACTACGCAAACTCAACAAACAGCAAAAACAAATGAATTGAAGATGAAGGAGATTTTTATGGTTGTATATATTTTTTATAAGCTGCTATGATGAGGATACGAAAAATTTTCTCTCCTTATTTACAGCAATCCTCATGCTTATCACCCACCACAAAAAAATAACAAAAATATCATCAGCAGACACATACTAGCTAAAAAATTTACCAAAAATATTTCATACTAAGGAAAAATAAAATTCATAGCAGCAGATTGCTAGCAAGCTTTTATATACATACAAGAGGAAATAATATAAGAGAAGGATCCAAAAAATTTGAAAAATTGTGTGTGAACACTTAACATTTACCGCCTTTGCAATTTATTCAATACTGCTTATGTTTGAAGTTGTATTAATGATTTATGTTGATGATATATTTAAGTTTATTAAATACTTTTTTGAATTAAATTATTCAATTTCGACATTGCCTTAATTGAAAAATAAACAAAACTAATTTTTAAAATCATCATTTTATTAATTTTTATTAACATGAAATGAATCTTCTTGAGAACAAAAATTTATAATATGCTTTACAAAATTGCAACTGCGAATTTATTTAAATTTACGCTCAATAAAATTTATGACTATCTATGTGCAGATACTTCTGAACTACACACTTCTGCACATTGCTCAATAATCAATTCTCCTTTGGGCTATTTATGCACGGCTTTATTGCAAAAGTGCATCTCGTTGTATGTACATATGTAAATATATAAAAAAAATATATAAATTTAAAAGCAGAAATACTCAATCTTCATTTACTTTTTAACACATTTTTAAGCACTGGCATGAGAATAAATGGATGTTAGAGGCGAAGAGATGAGAAATGCAATTGTGCAGCTAAACAGAAATATAAAAAAAAATGAATTCAAATGTACTGCAAAGTGTCAAATGGCAAAAAGACATAAATTATGTCCATTAGGTATTATTTTCATTCTTTTTTAGTCATTCCATCTGCCTTCATTAAAGTAAAGAGGCATCGCATTTGTTGTAATGATAAATAATAGTATAAGCATTTTACACCAACTATGGATCATAAAATGTTGTATTACATACAATTATTTTATTTCACATGAAGGTTCTATGAAGCAGCTCATTGTGAGTATAAGTGTCATAGAGAAAGAAAAGCTAAATGAAAGATTCATGAAGACTCATTAAAACGAAATGTGATGCATCGTCATTTAATGACTAATTTTTTAAGAAAAATCCATTCAGGCTTAAATTTGATTTATTTTATGATAAATAAAGTGACTTGATGCGTAATCAATATTTTTAAACAAAACAGGAAATGTTATTTTTATGAAATTGGTTATGTGAATATAGCGTTAATTCTATAACCCTAATAAAAACTATTATTCACACATCAACATCACCTTATTGCCAATTTTTCTGTTGTTGTTTTCTCGCATGTAGATATAAACTTTCCGTAAATTGCGAAAAAAAGGAGCAATAAAGAGTTGAAAATAATTTTCCTTTTTGTTTTTTTCATCATTCTTAAAAGAAGTCAGTAAAATTTGTGCGAGGTGTGAAGGAATTTATGCGATCATTAATTTCCAATGCTTATGTTATGCTTATGCGAAACTATGTATTTTTTCGGAAGAAACAAAACATAAAACGTAAAGGCCGAAAGGGGAGTGCGAAACTCCTTCATATCAGCGATTCTTTTTGTGCAATGTATTCACTGTTTCACTGCCGCTTTCAGTATTTTTTTTTTTTTCGTATGAAATTGCCGGCAATTTATGCTCGAAATTATAGGGCGGCAAAGGAAAGGGAAAAAAATACATCAAATTTTAATATTTTCTCTTTACACGGCTTTTGTTGTGCTTTGCTCTACTGACTGAATATTATAGAGATGGGATGCGCGATGTGCATAATTGTTTGATTTTTCTCCACTTTTCGATATACATTCAAGTTGAAAAAGAAATCTCTTTTATATTCATCTGAAATGAGTTTGATTTATGAAGCCTTCTCTTATCATACTATACATTTATTCATATATGATGCTACAATAATTGGCAACAACAGCAGAGGTGTAGATGAAAATGTTCACAGAAGAAGTAATTACAAAACAATTAAGATTCTTTTTATATTCAGCCGACAATGCTTGCACACACATGGTAAAGTAAATGATTGGCTGGATAATGATGGATCACATGAAAAAATATGTTTATGCATTTACTCACATAAAAAAGATAATCGTGATTGATTTCGAAATTTTCTTTACGTTCAATAATGCTCGCATTCTTACTAAAAGAAAATTGCTTGCTTTTTTCATTTATTTTCAATTCATAATAAAGTGTAACAGCAAACATTTCATTTAATTCTTTTTTTTTGAGAGGTTTCATATGTTCCTTCTTTAGATCAAAAATAAATCTTACTTATATAATCAAGGCAGATCAAGGAAGTATTATGAAAATAGTACGAAAAAATCAAAAATAAAAATCAAGTTAAAAATAATGATATTTTTTTTTTCAAAAAATAAGTTTTACAATATCCAGTTCTTATCTTCTTAATGCTGATCAATATTTATTAGTTCATCAAAACTTACTTTATACAACCACTAAGTAATTTTCATGTCTTATTACATTAGAGGTCAATGTACTTTATATATCAAAAATAAATTATATTTATAATTTAAGTAAAACATTTTAAAGATGCAAAACTTGACATTTTATTTCCTAATTAACAAAATTGCAGCAAGTTTTAAATATTTTAAATACAAAGTCAATGATTACCCAATTTTAAATTTCATCAGATACTAGTCTCACATGCACAATTGAGCTTGTTGTTAAGTTATAAGAGAAATGAAACGAAATAAAATAAAAGAAATCTGCCGACATGAAATTATAAGAAAAAGAAGAAGTAGATTTGAAGGGAAGCTTTAACGAAAATAAAAATCTTTTGAAAATTACAAGCTGTTACCACATTTAAAATTCACACTTATTGGCATTGATTTTCGGGCCCATTACTTTGAGAAAAAGGAGAAACTTCGTCTCCCCTTTTATTTTGACTGATTCGATATCCTCAATTGAAGAGTGATGTGTGTGATGCCGTCCGTTGCCAAGAGGCACAAACTCATTACGACTAATTTTCGTTACCTTTCATTTTTTTCTCCTTTTTTCTGATCTTTTCACAATGATGCCTTGTAGTCTGTTGAGGAGTTCTTTCATTCTTTTACGTGTGTGAGCCTATTATTACAAAATTGAGCATTTTTCAGCTCAAGATAAAGTGTTAAAAAAGTAATTATATTTCATTTCATTTTCGGGCATCATCATAAGAGAAGTAAAGTGTTAAGAAAATTATGCGATGAATACATGAACTGGGTATAAAGAAGAGAAATATCCCTTTAAATTAATGCCGCAATTGTTTCACATTCTTTATTCTTTCTCAATCATTTATTTTACACTATTCAAAATGTTGCAAATTATTAACAATATGTTTTTTTTTTCATTGTAATTTACAGAGATCCTATGGATGCATTACTTTTGGAGCAACACTTAAGATCGGCACCTCTTGGACTTTTTCCAGATCCTATGATGGCACAACTCATGCCTCAATCAATGGACGCTGCACTAATAGAAAAAGCGAGGCAGCATCTTCAAATGTGGGGACGCTCACCATATGCAGAAATGCTCTTACCACAAATGTATGCTCAACGACCAAATATAAATGCAGCAGCTTTAAATCTTGGATTGTGGCAAGGTCAATGGCCATCACAATTAACAGCAGCAGCTGGATTTTTAAATAATCAAGCAGCACTTCAACAGGCAGCAGCTGTAGCTCAGCAACAAGCTAGAAGTCCACCACATCCACCTCAAGCTATAACACCTAATAGCTCAGGATCACCGTCACCATCATCACACGATATGAGATCAAAACACTATCCACCTCGTTTTAGTCCTTATCAATTACCACCTTCATCACATACGCAGACTTCTCCACAAATAATGATAAAACCTTCACAAAGTCCACCACTAAGAAGATCTCCTGAGCACTAGATATAAATTAAACGAAAATTAGTCAATTGGTTATGTGTACATTAATTCATGTAGTTCAATAGCTCTATTGTATATTAGAAATCCATTTGAAAATATGTGTTATTACTATCGTTTAATTTTAAATTGATAATTCATATAAAAATGTCGCTGTGTTGTTTAGTTTTTAATATTTTTTTTTTAATTTCGTAGTTTTTAAATTTTTCAACAAGTTAATGTGTAGGTAATTAGATTGTTATGTATCAATATCAATCGGCACAATGTGTACTTCATTTCATTGAAAAGAAAAGTGTTAAACCTGTGAATAACAAAAGTAGCTTTTAAAAAATTCAAATTTTATGTAAATGTATAAAATAGTTTTGATTTTGCCTAAAATTATTAAGTTTATTTCACACTTTAGGCTAATATTTTGACTAAGAATAAAATTGAAGCATGTGGAAGAATTTATATGATTTAAAGTCATTGTTTGAACTAATTTCAACACATTTAAATCTAAATTGGACGATAAATCTATAGAAATGTACTATAAAAGTTGAATGAGTTCTTCATCATTTTATGAAATGGTAATCATGTCATATCTGTAAATTCAAGAAAAAATGAATGTTGCAATAATTGTAAAATAAACAATTCCTAATTAATTAGCACTTAGTTTTCTCGATTGTATTACAAAAATAAATTATTAAAGTTCATTAATTATTTCATGCAATTTTTTGCACGAAGAGTTTTGAGCGAAAATTTAAATATAAAAAAATATTCATCAATATATTATGTGTATAGAAATAAAATGAGGAAAAAACTGAAGCCAAAATCTAAAAAAAAAATTGAAATAAAAAATAAAAATTAATTTATCACATTTAGTCATCGATTCTTCTTCTGCTGTTGCTACTTCTACCTAAGACAAATTTTTCAGAAAAAATTTTATCGCTGCCGTCTATGAAGGAATGAAAAACTGTTTCTTTTATATACGCTCATCGGAAGCTTTAGGTGGTCTCTTCTCTTTTGCTTGTATGCCCATCATCATCACACACATATCTCGCTTACTTGTTTCATTTCACCTTTTTCTCTTTATATATCTGCTCAAAATTGTTGGTTTAGCAGTTGATATAAAATATTATTCATATGTGCAAGGTTGGTACCACAAAACGGGTGGCCAGATTTTATATGATTAAAAAATTTGCAAATATTTGAGATATTTCTTGATCGATTTATAAATCAGTTTTTGAATTTTGTTAAAGCATCTCAACAATGAAACATCAATCTTAAATTTAATACTTAAATAATAAAACCATTTAAAAGTAAAAGTCGCGCATTCCGAAAAACATTTCAAATATTAAATATGCAGTTACAGGGTTGAAAATAAAATTTTAAAAAATTCAAAACTATATTAAGCTAAACCAGTATTGAAATCCTCTGTTTATCATTACAATGTTATTTTCTTCTTAAGCATCAATAAATCAGTGAGGTAATTTAATTGTCTTTAATATTTTAAAGCTTCCAACTGAGGTATATCAAATCATTTATTGGAAGTAAGCAGGCGGGCAATAGTCAATAATAAATTGCTTTTAACATAAAGTAAGAAAAACAAACAATTTCTTCATATTTATTTCACAAATGAACAAATATAAAATATAAACATTTGTATACATATAATATTATTACCTACTAACTGAAGAAGAAGATAAAATGTTTAATGAGCACCTCCTCGATATGCATCCTGATACTAATCAACATCATTTCAAAGTGAATACGCGCGAAGGCTTCCTCAAAACATTTCAACAATCAAATGCGATTTATCTCTTTCTTTCAAGCAGAGTCTCAATTCCATCTATAGAACAACTTTTTGGATTCTCATACAAATTGTTTATAGGTAGACAGATGAGGATTCTCAGAAATCATCAAATGAGTGAGGAAATATATACGATGTTTTTCTCTTTTTTATATTTTAGGGAAGGCAATTAATCAACCATTTAGTTTATAACACAACAACAATAAGAATTTCAGAGATACATATTTAATTTAATTGTTGAAAAATTATTCACATAGTGAAGGCGAATCAAGTGTATGTTATATGTGATGAATAGTTGGCGATAAATAAAACTTGAAAAAGAAATATAAAAATCTATTAATTTGTAATACAAACAATATATCGATATTATCTAGGTAACTTAGCGTTGCACTGTAAATCATTTTTCGATGATTTGTTAAACAAGCTTGAGAAGCTGCATGCTGATTAATTTACTTAACGTTTAACGAGTCTCGTTAAGACGTTTATAAAATATTTATGTTCTGTGTCTAATTCTGAATATTCGCTCATATTTTTGACTCGTCATCATTAGAATTTGTAATGCATAATTAAGTATACAAATAAATAAACAGCCAATCAAAAAAATGTCATCAACCTTCAATGACATCCAGAAAATGTCGCATATTATAATACATAACAATAAAAAATAATAATCGCAAAATCTGCAAAAGAATCTTTTCTTCACAACTTTATGAATAAAAAGAAGAAGAAAAAGAGAAATATAAAAATATCAATTTTCATCGCTTATCGTCCGTTTATGGAGACAAAATCTTTGCACATATTTCATCATTTTATAAGTTGGTGACGATATCGTTTTTGAATAATATGAATATAAATACTTTAATATTACAGTGAAATGTCTTCATGTAAGAATCGTTTTTAATATCTTTAATAAAATATAGCTTAAATCCAATTTATGTAACGGCAATTAAAGTTTTTATTGTAAATGACGTGTTTAATATATATAGTTTGCAAGGTTTTGCTGTATTTGAAACAGATAAAATTCGCGAAAAAATAAAAATAACGATCAAATGTGATTAACCTTGCAACCTTTTCTTATTCGATATTTCCATTTCTTTTTATTCTTTTATTAGCGTATGTATGCCTCTGCTAGCATCAACTTCCAGCGGTGCAAACAAATAAAATGTGTATATAAGTAACGTTTATAAGTAAGGAGCAAAAAAAATTTTAAATAAAATGAAATGAATGCAACCCCTTTAACATCAACAGAAAGCCACACAGCTCATGAACCTATTGATTTCAATTTGTTTATACTCATAAGGATTCTCATAATTTGCATTTTGCATTGTTAAATTGAATGAAGCGAGAAATGAGAAGCAAGAAAAAAAATCAATTGATTTATGAAATCTCTTGGCGATCAATGATTGTAAATTAATCTTAATGATGCGCACAGTTTTATTTTAATCGCATTTTTACTGAGTACAACTATACTAAAGTTGGTTTCATTTAAAGTTTACTTTTTATTTTTATTTCATTGGATTTTTATTTGTAAATGTTTAATTTTTCGAAAAGAAATCGAAACCTGAAATTGTTGGTTAATGCGTTGAAATCCTCGTCCACAGCTGCCACCTTTTATTTTATGTTGTCATAAATCATTGTGATCCACTAATGAGAATCTTATCGCATTAATATGTTTGCCGTTTTTTTTTTAAATTTTTTGATAGAATTTCAATAATTGTAAAAACCAAATAAACTTGATTGCATGAAATTTTGAGTTTTGATAAGGTTAAATTACCATTAACATTTGTTTACATAATTTACAAATAATTTAAAGGTATTCAAAAAAATTAAATGATTCATTAATTAGTATTCTCTCATCATATATCGATTAACTTTCTCTATTCTCGTATAATAATTGACATGAAACAAAAATCATTTTTTAAAAAGTTTAGCTCAAAGAAGAAGAAAAATAAAATTCCAGTGGCCTCCAGCCGATGCCAGTTTTAAAAAAAAAAAGTAAAGAAATCTCTTTACAAGTATCGAGTAGTCATTTATTAGGAATTTACATGTGGCAGCTTCTTTAGTAGTGAGAAAAAAATATGTTGTTCAACTGGCACGCAAAAAATGCTACTGTGCTGTCTATATGTTATAATGAAAGGCACTTCGATAAGCGATCAATTATGAATAAATTAAATCTCATATCTGAACGAATGAATAGGTAAAATGAATGGAATCATCATTCATGCTTCTTTTCACTTCTATTTTTTTCTTCTTTGTCTTCTTTTGCTGCCTTTTATTCACTCGTATCGTTATTCACTTTTAATAAAAACATTTAATGATGCTGATCTGGGCTAAAGTACTATCTGTTGACTGTGAATTGTTATTTGTTTAATTATTTTTTTTTTCTTTTAAATTAGGCCCGGTGGTTAGGTTTAAAAAAAATAAAACAAAATTATAAAACGAAAATAAATCCAACGCCTTTTTACTTTGAAAAACCTTAAATTTAGCAAATTTATTTTTTTCTTACCCCTGTTAGAAAATTATATGTCCTCCACTTATTATATTCAGAGCATTGCATGATTACTTTTATAATCTTTTAAAATATTTTGTTGCTTTTTGTAATAGATTCCCCCTTTCTCGAATGAACTGAGTTTCTTTATTAAAGAATAACACTTTTCGTGAAGATATTTTTGAAGAAGTAAAATAATACGATGGGTTGTCAGTTAAATATTTAAAAAAATGCAAAAAAACCAACAACGCATAAATCCTTATTTATTTAATTTTTTATGCTATAAAAAGTTTTTTTTTTCATTGTTCCATCTAATCAAATTCGCAATTTAGATGTCAATGGAATAAAATTTCTTAAGGTGTGTAGAATGATTGAAAAGAAGAAAAGGTGACGTGTTTTTATAAGTAAAGCAAGTTCACTTCTAGACTTGTAAAATTATTTGCATCAATGAAAAGACCATGAATGCATGTAAGCATGTATCTTTGAAAAAGAAAGACATTTCAATAGAAAATAAATGAAATGTAATTGTAACGCTTGACTTATTTAAGTTCAAACAACTAAAAAAATAGAATACAAATAAAATTAAAGTTTTGACTTACCGTATCAATCTTTAATTTCTCCCACGAGACATTTCAGTAGAAAAAAAATCTTATACTTCACAACTTGTTTCTCCCCATTACATTGTCATTAGGTGACTTAATTTTCATGCGCAAAACTTCTGATATATTTTTTTGAAACAGTTGTCAAAATATTACAACAAACTGCAAAGTGATAAACTCAGAAATTCTATGAAATGTGAATGAAGATGGAAATGGGAGAGGGAAGCAAATTAGAATCATCATCATAAAACGGCAATTTATCAAATTATAAAAATGTTTCTGTTCATTCTTTCTTGTCTTTGCTATGTAATTTACTCATTGTTATACGTACATATATTTACAAATATTGTGAAAACAGATGGTCCTGATTGACGGAAAAGAAATTATATTCTTATAACAAAATATGAAAATTTGCAATGAGATTATTATTAAAAATAATTTTAAATACAATGAAATGCGTCACTGCACTTTTTAATTCTATGATTGTATTTGTATCGTATGTTTGACAAGATTATAAATTAATCTAATTACCAAAATCTCCATGTAATCTGATTTTATGAGGCGAAAACTAATCTTATTATTATATCATATCAATATCAACGGATTTTTCCTCCTCTGCATTTCCATATAAACTTAACTTTTGTGTGGTCTATTGAGCAGCATAATTTTCCCTTGCTTGAATCGCTGCCACCCTTCAATAAATAACTCTTTCATTTCGTTCATCCCTTCTTTATTACAACACTTTTGAACAAGTTAAATGAAGGCAGAAATTAAAAGTATTTCACAATTTTATTTATTGGTGTATCTCCTCTTCTCTCACTAAGCATTAGCTAGAATACACTTTCTCCTAAT